GGTGGCAAAAGTAGGGAAAAATAAAAAGCATAAACGTTCTAAGGAAGTTAACATTTTCTATATTTTACATTTGGAAGAGAGGGTTATTTTAGTATAAAATAAGTTAGGGAGGTGGTACTGGGGGAGATTCCTAGGACGGGTGCAGAGTATGTCTTTTTCTAGCCGTGACGCCGGCATGAAGCCTAGTACATTGTAACTCTTTTTAAACGATCCCAAGTGCTCAGTAAATTTAGCTCTTAAGTGCCAGGCATGGACCTAATCGTCTTATGTCTATTTAACTTTACAACATTATCCTTGAGGCACAAGGAGGTCATATAACTTGCCTACGGTCACAATAAAGCCATTTAACCCCAGAGCCCATGTTCCAATCTAGAGTTACGTGAGTCTGACTCCTATTCATCCTTCAAATCTCAATTTAAACCTCACTTCCTCCATAAAGCTCCTCCGAAATTCACTAGTGGGTAAATTAGGAACCCCTTTTCTGGATTCCTCAGTCCCTGCCCTTTCAATTAGGTTACTAATACATTTACGATCCTGTATCAGAGTGTGTTTGAGAGGCGCAGGGAATTGGTTTTTGGCACCTTTATGGCCACAGCACCGGCACTGAATAATGTAGACAGTAAATATTTGTTAAATGAATGAACAGCAAAAATTTAAAATGCCAACAATAACTGCATTAAATTTGACAATGATATTTCACGATGAGGATGCCTCTAGATTATAATGTAGTTACTAAAAGTTCACGAATTTTTCATCTATCTGCTCTTAGATGATTTTTACAAACTATAGTTGTAATAAATGAGGCACATTGAATTCTTATGGTAGTACAGTGAAAACTCAGATATCGTTTAATATTCATTCATGTACCTACCTTGTAGAAAATATACTTAAATATTTGTTAATTTATTTGATTGAATAAATGAACAGGTACCAATGTATAGTTGCTCCTGTGGGTTTTTTTGTTTGTTTGAAAAAGCCACCTGTGCAGAGAAAAAAAGGCGAAAAGGGTTTAAACCAACGTATTAGCAGGAGTGTTTCTGGGAGATAGAGGGGTGTGACTTTTAAAAATTTGTTTTTAAATTTTATTATGAAAAATTTTAAATAAATAAAAATAAGAATAGTTCAGTGAACACCTATACACCCTTCAGTTTGACAGTTGTTGATGTTTTGCTACATTTGCTTTGTATCTACACATAGGTGGGCACACCCATACACTCACATGGATACACTCACACTCACACACTCAGCTGTTTTTGCATCACTATTTGCAAGTAAGTTACAGACATTATAATACTTTGCCTTTAAACATCAAAACATGTATCTCCTAAGGATAAGACATTCTCATATATAACCATAGCACTAATATTACACTTAAGAAAATTAGCAATTTTATGATAATACTG